TACTGTACTTGCATTGACTTCTGTGGGAGCTCTGCCACAGTAAGGATATTGGCCGGGACTACACGCTTACAAGTAAGAGGCAGTAGGTAGCTGTGTTGTCCCAGGTGAAGGACAGGAACCAGACTATGACTCTGAGAGTCACAGTCTCATCCCTTGGACCAGGGGGATTCGAGAAGTAATCTGTGCCAGACTTTTACTAGCACAACTTACTTCCCCCTTTGGGCAGTTGTCTGAAACTGTTTTTAGCTCTTTATTTGGGAATGACTAGATTTCAAGCTGACAGTGGACCTTTAAGTTTTTTTTCACTAACATGGAGAAAATGGTGTGATGCTCCAGCAGTTACACATATTTTATTGATTCTCAGCTTCTGGATATCTTACATTAAGCTGTAGGTTAACAAGTCATTGAGCAGGACTTCAGCAGATTGATATGTTTGGAAGCCAGTGGGAAAATGAGAGTTTAAAAAAGAAGCATACCTTAATAATAGAAGTTAAGTGCAATTCCATTATTCCATCACTACATACCTTGAACCTGGAGGACTTGAGATATATCAAAGCCTTGGCTAATTCTGACAATAACCACGCCAAGCTCAAAATCAAATGCATCGCTGAAAACAAAAATAAAATGATTATGGGCACTTTCTCACCAGTCGTGTTGTGGTTAAAAAAAATTGGGTAAGCTAACCCAAACTAAACTCGATATTCACCTAAACTCCATTTACCCGCATTTACCCTTACCTACACTACTGCCTTACCCCACAGGCGTCACTTAGAGCTGCCTAACTTAAAGACATTCAGAGAAATGTTAATACTTGGTATGAAGCGTTGTGGGCCACACACTGCCCTGCAATGGCTAAATCCACCCGAGGTGAAATGTGGCCAAAACTAAGCAAATGTGAATTTGCAGGGTTCCAGTGACCTCCCACTCTCAAGACAGAGGAGTTGGTGCTTGTGAGAAACAAAGAGATTATCCCTGAGGTGGACCTTCCTCTCATATTTGCCTCTAAGCTCCCCCTTGGCAGCTTCTTTCGGAGTTGTGCCACCCTGGAGTGGCTCCTCCATGATAGTGCCCCATTCCATCCCTGCTGAGCATCAGGAGACGTGGAGTGGGTTTTACTTCTGGCTGAACCAGCAGTCGCTCGTGGGCAGCTTTGCAGCTGGAAATTCAGCCGGTGTTGGGAGCAGCACACTTCAGAGTGGCTACACCCCGGCCATAACCCAACCCACAAAGCTGCTGAGCCTCAACCATATGATTCTTGAAGGCAGGGGCTTCCATGGTGCTTGGGGCCTACCAGGAGAATGCCATTATTCTCTCTTATCCACCAAGCATGTATTTGGGGTTGATTTTTCCCCATACCAGTCCACAGAAAAGAAGAAAATGTAGTCCTACAAAACTGAGAACGGTGCAGCTTCCTTATGCAGCTTTGTCAAACCACCTCCGCTGTGGCAGTGATGAGCCAGGCGTTGCCTGATGTGCCACAGTGGGGATGATTTTGTCTTCTGAACATACATCCTTTAGGAACTAGGTGGAGCATATTTTCATTGATGAGCTCAGATCTCCAGAGGTGAAACGCTAGAGCACCAACCCAGCTAGCTGTTCATACTTTCAGTTTTACTTACTAGAAATATTGTACATGATCTTTTCTTTTTAGAAATGCAAAATAATTTGAGTCCACAGAAAATATTATGATGAAACTGAACCATGACTTACTGTATAACACCCATGTAGTTTTCAATTTGCACAGCAGACGCATCCCGCCAGTCTGTTTTAAATCCCAACACCAAGGTATTTGGTCTCATCCTACCCAAACCCGAGGCCTAGTGATATCAAAATACTGCATGAAAAGGTGCATACACACAGGCTGTTGCTGTAAATGAGAAGTAATGGCAAAAGATAACTGAAGTAATGTTCTGGAGATTCTTAAGATTTGATTGCATTTTGTGAATGTCCTTCATGCCTGTACCCAAGCAGAAAGTAGAAAGATTAGGTCTACATTATTCTGGTCATAAATGGTTTTTAGATGAAAGAAATGTAGTTTTGCTAATTTAGCATTCATTTGCATTTCTTCTGACATGCTCTCGTGAAAATGGTTCAGTAACTGAAAACCAAGAGCCAGTTCATGCTGCTGTTTGTGTGCTCATTCTAACATAACAGCATCACGCTTCTGTCTGGCTTGTAACATAAAGTAAATCAATTAGATCTTGAAGTCCTTTTAAGGACTTGAAGCACTCAGAGGGAGGAGGAGTGGCAGTCCTTTGTTAAAAACAAATTCTTTGCTTTAGTTTAGGAGTTCTCACCATGCCCCTGAGGAGATGATCCAAAAGTAGCTGAGTACACCTTATATGTAAATAATAATTTGGAAATACGCAGGAAGAATAGGAGATTTGGCAAGATGTAATATCAGACCAGGCTTCTTCCAACAAGATGGTCACAGCAGTTTTTAGGTAGAGATGGGTCTGAGTGCTAAAAGTTGGGTCCAAATTTAAGAGGGGACCAGATCTAGCTTCAAGCTTCCCCATGGTTCCAGTTAATCTAATTTGATTAAGTATGAGTGCACACTAAAACATGCAATATGTTAGGAATATTTTCTTAGGATACACAAATATATTAGCTCTTGAGGTATTGCATTTGCGTATTTTTATTGCTAACAAAAGGGAAATGGATAGAGCTATGGGAAATTGTTTTTCTGAGTTGTACTGACACATTCATATTGTACACATTTAAATGAATAGCTTGTCTGCAAAACAATTTCATACTGATTTCTCCAGGATAATCTACTGGTGGTGTGGCCACCTTCCCAAACTGCTGAAAGGGAAGTGTTTATTTGAACTCATGGACTTGATTTTGATCATGACGTTTTAAAAGAGATGGAAGAAGAAAAGATCATCAGGAAAAATAGTTCTTAGAAACAACAAAAAGAACTGCTGCTTGGCAAGCTGTTTTGTACACAAACTCAAGATAAAGTCTCTTCATTGAGCTTTAATACAACAGAAAGATGTATTAACACATTGCTACATTAATACATCATCTCACTCACCTCTGCTGTCCATTCAGCAAACATAATAAAGCCCATAATATGCTACCAGTGGGTGGCTGTTACCAGAGAACTGACAAAAAGTCTTTTGGGTGTCCATGCTCTTGTAGTGAGGTTCACAGGGTGTTTTGCACATGAGAATGGTGAGATTCCTTCCCCATGTTTTGCCTCCAGACGTACATGTTTGCACACGTGCATGTGAAAGCGAAGGAAATGGGGAATCTAAAAGTGGTACCAGGTTAGCCTCTGACAAGGCTATCTTCAGTGAAGTTAGGTTAATTTTAATGGACTGTTGATAAGCAATCTGGAATATGTTTGGAGTGATAGGGAAATGTTTCAGGCAGTGAGTTTTTATTAATCGAGATGGGCTTCACTGTGTTTGCAAAACTGATATATATAAAATGATCAAAAATATTTCCTGTGATATGAAATACAAAAACATTCTCAAGTGTCTAATATACTGCCTATTACCAACAAGCAGAACTCATTTGCAGTGCACTAAGTGCAGGCACAGACATTTGTATGGTGCCCTAAAGGCACCTCTATTTTCATAATAGGGCCTCATTCATTTAGGATAGAATCAGCCAGCTTTGTTTCTCAGTTCCATAGCCTGGAACCAAATCTGTTCATGAAGCAGACTATACTACAAAGAGAGGTATCCTCAGGACACCCTCTACATTTATAACATATTATCCCTTATATACAAGACCTTTTAACAAGTAAACAGTAATGCTTGACGTACAGGGAAACTTTGATATAATACTCTTGTACGCATTTTGTAAATAAAAAGCTTACTTGAAGGAGACTTTTGACTCCATCTCTAAAGCTGTCAGCTGCCACTGCAGCGTAAAATGCTTTTCTTTTGTTCTTTGTAAGCCAGGCCTGCTTTTTTGCCATGCCACTGTTCATCTCGTTAACACACAGCTTGCGCGGTCCCTGTAGGATACAATAAAATATTAGTAAGAAGACTTTGTTTTATACATCGCACTGTGATTTTGAAGGAGTTACCTAGTCTGCTGTATGGGGGAATGGAGGGAGTCAGAAAAATACATTTCCAAAAAGAGTCCATGGAGATTCAATGCTTGTAAAAGAACCATGCTGGTAACGTAATTCACATTCTGTTCAAGAGGACAGAGGCTGTTAATGCTACTTGAATATAGTGATTCTGACAGAAAGAAAGACTACTCTGAATTGTAACATCTTAGAACAATATTGTGATGAAGTATCTCTGAGTGAATAAACTCCCTACCTGACATGACTGCATAAGCAACCCTACAGGAAGGTTCAACAGATCTTAGGCAGTCATTAAATGCCTATCTTCTGACAGTAAGGGCAAACTAGACCTTACCCAACTGGACACACAAATTCCTTTGTTACTGTGTCTTTACAGTGATCATCTGATAGCTTAATTGGGTAAAATCCAACAGTTACAATATTTGTAGGCATTATGGGATTCCCACTGACAACAGATAGCTGTTTTTATCACCAGGTTATTTCTACAGTTATACAAATCACAGTGGTTCATTGTGTCACACTTTTATTACCCACTAAACTAAATTTAGCTTAAATTGTTAGAGAAGAAAAAACAACAAAAATGCTTGCGCTAGCACAACCAACTTCTGTTTTATAGGCAGAAATGAAATCTCCTAAGGTTATACGAAAACCAGTAATAATACAGGAAAATGCCTAATAAGAAAACTTGCTGAAGGCATGCTATGTGAAGTTGTCTAGTCTGCACCCACAGCCATTAATGGCAAACTCCCATTAACTTCAGTGATGCAGTATCAGGGCCATATACTCATATAGGACCTGTCTACATAGTGTGTTAGTCCTCACTAGAGGTGTAAATTCTCATGCTTACTACATGTTGCATACTAACTGGCCCATGTGGCACCTGCTGCCGTGAACTGTAAGTTCCCTGATGTAATACTGTTTGAAATGGGACTACGTTGACATGCACTGGGGAACTCTCGGTGTGTGGTGGCAGGGTCCATGTGGACCAATTGTTGCACAACACACTAGTGCACACTAGAATTTACACCCCTCTAGTGCAGACTAAGGCACCATGCAGAGAAGCCCAAAGACTTGTTTGGGTTGGAATGGAGCTTATCTAAGTCTTCTAGTCCACCCTTCTGCATTTTGGTAGCATTGATTTAATAATTACTACAGTAACACTAGGAAAAGGGTGCATTATCTGGACTTGACTAGCTCTAACAAGGATAATTCCATAACCCCTTTTGTAGCTTGTTCCACTATTCAGTGTTTATTACAGTTAAAAAGTTTGCCCTAACATTTAAACTACACTTTTCACTGCTGCAATATAAGCTCAATATTAAATGATCCCTATAATCTTTACTGCATCTTTCCCCTGCACATAGTTGTAGCTACTTATCATATAATAACAAAAAGGTGTACTTAGGTAGCTCCTTTCTTCATAAGATTTTGGAGCAGAATCCCTTTCCCCCAAAAGCTGGAAGAGTATTGCTATTATAATATTATAGATGGGGAAACTGAGGCACCAAGCAGCAAAGGTCAGCACAGCAAATCAGTAGCAGAGCTGGGACTAGAACTTGGGTATTTTGACTCCTGTGCTCTATTCCCAAAATCATGCTGGTTCCTTGACCCCACACGTTCTCTAACCGTGGCTTATCCAATTTTTTAAATCTTTCCTTGTAACTCTAATTTTTCCAAACCTTCTCTCATTTTTGGTTGGTCTACTCTGAACTCTGACACACATCTCAATGAAGCATTAGCCAGCAGGCTCCAAATCAGCTGACAGCCTTCTTGTCAAGACTCATGACAAAATTCATTGACATGCTCTACTCACCAGCATCAATGGGAGCATTGTGTGCCAAATGAGTGGAGAATGGAGTTTTGCAGTGCACACGGGAGAATTTTGCTCTTAATTTTTAGGTTCACATACATAGACCCTACCGTATATACTTGGCAGCAGATGCAGAGACCATTGTTCTTTGTGAATGAATGTGTGATGTCTAACAGAGCAGGTCTTGTCATGGGTCCTCCTGTTAATACTATGCATTGGGGTCTGGAGGAAGGAATAAAAGGTTACAGTTAACTGGGAATCTATCTATCGAACTCCAGACTGAGCCATTCACTACTTCCCTGCAAACCTTACCTGAAGTTTTTCACATGATCTTCTACAGCAGTTAATTCCAGTGCACTGTCTAATGCATTAACATAGTAAAGAGCCTGTGCAGATGAGCCCCAATTTACCTCTGTGTATGACAAAGAAAAACATTGCATATTAAACCATGGTTTTTTTCTAAGTGGTGTAACAGATGTCAGCATCGTCTTCTCGATAAGCCATGGCACACTGAATTCTATCATGCTCTCAGCCACATAAATGTTGGGGTAGGGGTGCGTGATGCAAATACAAACAAATCCTGCCTTGTTCTTTGTGTGAAAAGCATAGGGCATGTTCTTCCTCTGCTTAAGAGATGTTTTGCTCTCTGTTCCATTAACTTTCTTCCCTTCTCCCACGTATAAAATGGACACCTCTGAGTAATGCAGTTATTTGATGTGATATTTCAGCAGAGGAAATGAAGCCGTTAGGAAGGCACATTACTAGCCCCAATGAGCTAAAAACCACATGCTTTCAAAGAAGAAAATTGAAGGTACGGTGCCTCACTTACTGAGACATGCCAGCCAACCACAAGCTAGTTTGCCTTGCTATTGCATGCATACTGTTGCAACCTCTTTATAGTGCATGGTGCCTGAGAGATAAAGAATACTGTCATGGTTAAGGAACATTTGTATAACAATATAACATGTCATTGTCCTTTCTCCCTAGTCCTAGCAGCCAACCCTCTGGATCCCCTCACCCTTCACGGGTGTGCACTGGGCATGACAATAATCCCGCTCCATTCTGTTCTCTTTGGTTCTGCATTTCCCTGTGCATGTCAGTAGGACTTCTGGGAGTCATAGTCTGTGGTTCTTTGTACTGCAGTAAACTGAGCTGGTCTAGGATTCTTTCCTGGTACTTGTTCATCCTTCTAGGCATTGGAGGACTATCAGCACTCCGGTGATATAGCCTACATCCCCATTGGAAAGTGGGTGGGTAACCAACCCGAGTGAAAGAGGAATTCAGGCTGTAACCCACACCCAGGTTGAAAGCACCACAAACTCCAGTGAGAGGGTCTTGTGTGTGACAGCAAGGGGGGGTAAGGGCGACACTAAGGTAAGTAGCCCAGTTAACTCTGCTGTGAAGAAATACCCTGAAAGTAGTGACCATTCCAATTTAAGACTCCAAATAGGGGTGTAGCAGATTAGCCACTTCTGGATTAAAAAGCTAAAATAACAGCTTGGTTACTTTGCGCAGGTGAGTCTGCTAAGACCAGCTGAGCTAGACTGCTAGTTGCAAACACCTGATAAAGAGGTGTGTGTTTGGGGGCAGAGAGGAGCTGTTTCTTAAAAAGCTTCCTCAGAAGTTTCTCCCCAGAGGTGGTTTTAGCAGCAGAAGGGGCTGGCTGAGAGGACCAGATGAAAGCTGCAGCCTGAAAGGAAGGATTAGACTTTTGAGCTAGGAATGAGTAACAGAGTTTATACCTCCTAACAAGAGCTGGAATTTGTGATTAGGGTATCTCCTTTCTGCTTCCAAAAGGGCTGGATTAAGTGTGCCACAGGGAAAGGACCTTTATTAGGGCGCTATGTTTTGGAAATTTTAAAGTAGCATTCTTGTGATTTTTTTAGTTATACATTTTTATACCCACTTGTCCCAAATTCTCTACTATTCTTGGGCCTTTTCTGCACACAGAAGTTACATTGGTTTTAACTTGAATCAGATTTTAAAAAAATGGTTTAATGAAACCCATGCAAACCTCTGTGTGAATACTCTAATACCTGCTTATGGTAAATTTATATCCATTCAGATTGCACCTGTATATAAGCCAGGTTCAAATTGATTTCAGAGCATCCACACACGAATGTACATCTGCTTAACTGAATTGGTTTTAAATCATATCTTAAGTTAAACTGGTGCAACAAACTTTGTGTATAAACCAGGCCTTGGGCTAGCCTTGGGCTGCTTGCAATACCCACAATACAATGAGGTTTTGCCTGAAGCAATCTGTAGAATGGGATTTCTCTGTTATTCATTGTGTGCTGTCCATAGTGCCTGGGGCCTCCAGTCCTCCTTATGACAGAAGTTATGTTGAAAAAGGAATGACCATAGGGCCTCGGCAGTAGCCTTACAGATGACTACAACAACCACAATTAACTGCATATCATGAACAAAAAACAATAAACAACTTTTCCAGTCTCACCTGGCTTCTTGTATGTCACATAAATATAGAGGAAAAGCTCAATGGCATAAGTGATGAGAGCTGCCCACCAGTTGATGACAAACATGACACCACAGCACAGCATGGCTCCAAAAAGTGACACCCACATGTTGTAATACTTGAATGCAGGTCTCCAGCCTATTTAAATTAGAATCAGAAAAATCAGAGATGGAAAAGGTGGAAGATATATTTGCACTGCCTGCAGATGGAAATAAGTGTGCTGTAAAAGGGCTCTTGTAAGTATTTGATATAGTTTTGTATGCAAAAGGATGAAGACTGTGTTGAGACCTCTTGGATATTCAGACCATTGGGGTCTCTGAAGTCCCTCCCCCTGGCTACTGCAGGATTGTTCCCTACAGTACCTCTTCGATGGCTTTGTCCAGTTTGGTTTTAAACAGCCAGTGCATTTACATGCTTTTGCTAAATCATAGATCACTGATTCAGAACTGAAAATGAATTTTTCTATAACTGCAGGTAATAGGTTATTGTCTCCTTTTTGATGCATTTATATAACTCTTATTAATGTTAATGGGAGTTACACACGCTCCAAGAGGAGAATATATCCCAATATTGTAAGTGCTCCTGCCTTTTAAACTTAGAAATCATTTGGGATCACTGAAAAAAAAATGCAATTGACTTTAAAAAGGTATTATTCCTGCTGCTCTTGAGCTGTGATATTGAATACTTCCCCTGCTAGCAATTAAAATGATGAGTCAAAGGGTGAACCTCCACGGTTTGTGGGTCTCTTCCAGGTGTTCTTCAGAACAGATTCTTTGGCGAGGGAAAAACACTAAAGATACAAAGAGGTCCCCAGTACCCTAACATGGATCACCATAATAATGATGGAATGAGAAGGCACCACTGTGAAGAAATTTACTGTCCTGCAGCCTTGCAATTAGGAACATCTATCACTGTGAATTGACAGGAGCCAAAGAAATTAGCCAAAGGAAGCAAGGAAAATAAGGGGGAAAAATTGCTATGATTTTATATGAAATGTTAAGTAGTTACAGAATCATGACTGATGCACACATGAAGAGCACAGAGGTAATTTGTACTGAGCTCTATGGCAGCACAGAGCAGATCTGCATTTGTTCAGCTCTGCAGATAATTAGCAGAAGTGCTTATTTTTTCTGCCCTCTGAACAACTGGCAACATGCAGACTTGTGGGAAGGGACTTGATATATATGTTTATGCCGCCAATGTGGCTTCTTTCACACTGGAAATAAAGAGTGTATTTCTCTACTGTTTGAAATGAATAATTGATTTGCAGCAGCAGAAAATTGCCTTTACTGCTGGTCAAAAAGAGCATCGTTCAGATGATTCTCCTTATTTCTGGCTGTCAACCTTTCATTCATGAAAATAAAGAGGATTACTCTGTCCCTGGTGCTACAAATATACCTGGATGCTCCCCTGTTGCATAGAACTGGAGAGAGGTCCTTCATCCTCTTCTCTCTCCTCCCCCGTCCAGGACTTCCAGTGGTACAGACTAGTCAGGGGTCAGAGCTCGGACCAAAACATTAAGCAGAGGCCTCCTGGATCCCAGTCATCCATGTGGAGGGATTCTCTGGAATTTCTCTACAACCCTGCTACTAGCTATGGCAGGCCCACTAGCTATGCTGCCACTGTTCTGTTGGTTCATTGCTGCTCTATATAACCCACTATACGGGCTGCCATTTCCAGTAATAGTCTTACTGTTATTAATAACTTACTACAAAATGCCCTGCAGAGCTTCTGCATTTATTGGGGAGAAGATCATGCTACTTGATGTGGCTTTTTCCCTCCCCCACATTCCTGGCCTACCCACTTTCCCCCGGTGGCTGATGGGCCACATGGAGTTTTGCAAAGGGGGAGGTGGAAGTGATTATGTAGCCGGGAAAGCATCTCATGTAGCAGCTTTTACCCTCCACTGGATTCCACCACAGCTTTTCCCATTGTTTTGCTCCCTTCCATACTGTGCAGCTGCAGGGAGCATAAAGGTATATATTTCCAGAGCCAAATTACAGTTTGAGAAAGAACCATTAGTCTTAACTTGTAGAGATAAGTCACAGTCTTCAGTGGGAGCATGGTCAGGCTGCACATTGTATATCTTACTTGTTTGCAGTGTTGTCTTAGCCACATTGATCCCAGGATATGAGAGAGACAAGGTGGGTGAGCTAATATCTTTTGTCGGACATTTTATTTTATGTTGTATTTATTATTTCTCTTCAGGTCTGGGAAAAAAGAGCTCGAACGCTTCTCTCTTTCACCAACAGATGTTGGTGCAATAAAAGATATGACCTCACCCTACTTGTCTCTATCATGTAGCTTAGTCATTTTACAGATGCTGGAACTTTCGCTGGACAGCAGCTAAATGTTAAGTTACCCTCAGAGGTGAAAGTAAGCTGGTACGGTCTGGTACAGCATATCGGCAAGAGCCAGACTGGCTTCTCCGGCGGTGATTTAAAGAGCCCAGGGCTCCAGTCACTGCGGGGAGCCCCGCTGCCGGAGCTCTGGCGGTGCTTTAAAGGGCCTGGGGCTCCCTGCAGGGGCTGGAGCCCCGGGCCCTTAAATCTTGAAAGGCCCCACCTCTTCCTGTTGAGGCCATGCCTTGCTCAGGACTCCAGCATACCGGTAAGTCCTTTAAGTTACTTTCACCCCTGGTTACCCTTTTTATGATATCACAGACTGTGATGCCTACGTTCAGTTCATAGTGGGCTCTAAAACTAACCTGGAGATTTTGCATATGATGCATGAAAACAGGAGAAGTTAATAAGCGCGTATGAAGCCAGGAAGAAGTTGGAGATGATGGGAGCAATGGTGTTCAGTTCAGCTGCAAGAAAGAAGCATAAGTTAGAGTTCACGTGCATGTGTTTCTGTTGGCACTGGGGTTAGACAGCTGTTTCCTCAAAAAGCACTAATACTTGGATATTGGGGAAGTTCAAGTTACACCTCCAAAACCTGGGTATCTTTCCAGGAGCGAGGGGGGGAGCTAATTTAGGGCCAGATTGTGAAACCCTTACTCCTATTGGGTACTACCTGACTCCACAAATGATATAATTAACTTTAATGACGCTACTTGTGATGTAAGGGACTATTCAATGGAAAGGAATCACAATCTGGCCTTTAATTTGGTTTAAGTATTTTAAAAATGTAATTGAGCACATGATGCACATCTTAAAAGCAAAAGGGTGATGGTAAATTTATTTTCTTTGCTTTTTAAGAGACATTCTAAAACAACACGTCACACAGCTTGAATTTGAAGTCTTATAAAATTAACTTCAAAAATTCCAGACATCCCAAACTGCTGCTAATAATTATCAAATAAATACTGGAAAGCAATAGCGGGAATCTCCAAGGACCAGTGCTGTGAGCTCGTGCAGAAGTCAGTGGGGCTTTTCTGTGTGGAAGGTTTCAAAATCAGTTTGGTTTGTATAGTACTTAAAAGAGATTTGAAATTAATGCCAAATGGAAAGTGTATGAAGAAGTGTCTTAGTGTCTGTGCCAGATTCCCTAAGGTGATGAGCATGTACCTCTCCCACTGAAATCAATTGGAGCTGTGGCTGTTTAGCACCTTTGAAAATAACACCATAATGACAGTAATAACAAATTGCCATAATTCACTTATGTTTCCTGTTCACATTATGGGCCTGGTCCTACTTCATCTGTGGATAAAGGAATTTTTGCCATTGCTTTCAGTGGGAGTATAATCAAGCCCCATACAATTTCTTAACCAGTTTATAGATTTCTCTGGCCTGGAGCTAAATATTAAAATATCCGATTTATACAATTTCAGTATTACTTTTGCTTCTCACTATAGCTTAATACTGGCACCTCTAAAGTGGATGTTAATGTCTCACCTATTCCTTGTACAGCAAACATTTCATCAGTGGATTCAGTTAAGCTTCTTTTGCCCTGAGTGTTTGCTTTGCGGATTTGATAGAAGGAGGTCAGTGGCCAAAATAACAAGTGTTCTTGTCTTGAGCCACAGTTAGGTGGGTCAAGAGTAATGTGTGGCCAGAACTAGCTCAACCATTGGTTGGTGAGCACACCAATTAGCAACTGTGTTTAATTAATGATTTAAGAATAGGATGCATTAATAACCAGTGGCAATGTAAAATGCTTTCTGCACTCGTTGCACTTTTTACTTTCTTGCAAAATGAAATGAATTAAAAACACATTAAATTAAATGCCAAGATGGAGAGGGATTTAATAGTAGATATTTTTATGAAAATGAATTTAAATTCTCAGTTATTTGTTTCTAAATTATAGCAAGCAATTGGAACAAATATACAAACCAATCAGAATGAATGCCATAGCAATAATGAAAGTCAGAATGTATCCTCTGAGTGGTTCGTTGTTCTTCCCGTGTCCTTTAGCAAAGAAGTGGAGTGCTTTGTAGATGTTATCCTTGCAAAGAGCCTGGGAGATCAATCAGAATTTAATAGTACTTTTTGCAATAGAAAAAGTTATTTCATACTAGGAAAAGCTGACCCAAAATGACAGATGCTCTAGTAAGAAATAATTGTATCTATCTATTTCAAAGATGTTTATCATCATGATATCTAAGCACTGAAATAAGGTGATAATCAACCCCCTAGAGTACAGTAGCTAAATAAAATCAGTGATGCTTAACACTCACTCTGTGTGTTACAGACACTTACCAGATAAGTCTCACAAGACCCATGAGAGGTAGTTAAATGGGGGAAACTGAGGCACAAAATAGTGACCTGTCTAAATCACACAGCAAGTCTGTAGCAGAGCTGGGATTTAAACGCAGGAACCCCACAGCTCTTGCCTCTCAATCCCATGCTCAGATTAGTATGTCATGCCTCTTCCTATAGTAAAATAAGACCTTTCTAAAATATTTTATATCACTGTTGGGAAGAAGATATAGTTCAGCTAATTACATATCTTGGGTGCAAAGTAGAGTAGAAGGAAATTGATGCTCTTTATTGTACCTGGAAAACCTTGGGTGCACTGACAAGTGAGGCTAGAGCTGATGAGAGGGTCGCAGAAAAGATTCCTGCAGTGATTAGAGGCCCAAAGCCGGAAACCATGCTCATAACCTTTAGAAGCAACAAAAGTAAAGAACTGTCAGTCTCGTGACTAGGATACACCTATCCATCAGAGCTATTTATATGATCGCAGTTACCAAAGTACCTCAGCACCCCATCTGTATTTATTTGCAAAACCCCCTGTGAAGAAGGAAATAACATTATCTCCATTTACAGTTTGGAAACTGAGGCACAGAAAGACTAAGAGCCAAATCTTTAAAGGTATTTAGGTGCCTAACTCACATTACAATCAGCATAAAACCTTAACAGTGACCTCCGCAACTTTAAGGCAAAATAACTTCTCAAATGTATGGAATGTGTGGCAGTCAGGTGTTCTGCTCTCCTGATATAGAAGCAACTAAGGTCACTTAAGGCTTGTCGCTAGAGTGTCAGTTTCATGATGCAGGGGCATGGACTGCTTTTTAGTATCTTTTGGAGGTAAAGCTAAAAAGGCTTATGGAGTGTTGTAGGCAATGTGAAAGTGGCAAGCAATGCAGGAGACTTATCTCTTTGTAGTTTATTTCTATGGTTTTCAGGTTTTGAGTTAGGGGTGTGTGTCTTGATGCAGCCTTAACTGTCAGTAAATAAAGTTTGTGAGTTTATATATGTGTGTGCATCGTTGTGTGTGCTTGTATTGTTTATGATTTTGCACATTATATAAATAAAACACATTAAAACCTGGAAATTGTTCATCAGCCCATAATGACATTCCTGGGCTTTACAGCTGGAAAAGTCATAGCCAAGGGTACAGGCAGAGGACCCATTACAGTTCATTCCAGATACAACTGTGTCATTGATGTTCCCAGTAGCATCACGTACAACACACGCAGCTGGGGAAAAAACAGCATGTGATTATTTTCCTTTCTTGTGATAACAGAAGAATGTCCCCCCCATACTTCGGAGCTTAGCCTGCCTGGACTGTGTACAAATGACTGCTTCAGTTTTATCCCACAGAGTATTGCTTTTCAGTAGGATAAGTTCACTTCTCTGGATTGTGAACTTGGCCAGCGGGGGAGAGGGGAACTGCCTCACTCATGGGAGTGGAGCACTAGGTACTTTGGCGATCAGCAGAAAATTATCTGAATTAACTCAGAATTGATGTAGTGAAGTAAAAGGTCCATCTATGGCCCTTCTAATCTACCAGTATTCAAAGACAATCATGTTGCCAAACAGTTTAGGGTCTGAGCATATATTTCTTGTCTAACCAAGGTTCCCACTGGCTTCATAGGTCCAGATCCTCAGCTGCTGTTTAAAACATTGTAGCTCCATTGAAGTCAATAGAGTTATACTGATTTACCTGGGCTGAAAATTTGGTCCAAAGTCTCTTTGTTACTAATGATATTTATGTTCACTCTCTTTTTGTTTGTTCCCCCCAGAAGAAGGAAGAAACACATGAAGTGAACTTATGGAGCTCTGATCTCAACAGCTTTAGCTGCTAATGTGTAAGTCTATACAGTTTTTTCAAACATAGCCAAACAAAAATGGTTTAAGGATCCCAAAATACCGTTCTATATGTAGCAAGCCAATCTACAATCTGAACAGAAATGACCACATCCACCACTGAAATGTAGCCCCCTCTGGGGTTGAAGTGCAGCAACTGCTTAACAGAACAGAGCCACATTACACAGGTTTAAAGCAGATTTTGCTTTCTGAATTCTGAAACTGAAATTGCAGGGGGAATGCAAGTACACAGAATGCAGTTACCAGAGTTTGAATATGGCTAGGGGTACAGCACATCTACTTTTGCATAAAGTACCAACACCCAAAATGTTGGAAGACTCTTCTTTTCTCTCTCCTTTGAAAGGAAGTTTCCCACAGAGCCCTAGTACATGCTAGGGCACATATTCAGAGGGGAAGAGTGCCACTTACTAAATTGTTTCTTGCAGGAGGGATAGCTCAGTGGTTTGAGCATTGGCCTGCTAAACCCAGGGTTGTGAGTTCAGTCTTTGAGGGGGCCATTTAGGGAACTGGGGTAAAAATCTGTTTCAGGATTGGTCCTGCTTTGAGCAGGGGGGTGGACTAGATGACCTCCTGAGGTTCCTTCCAACCCTGATATTCTATGATTAGTTGCTGAAGCACTGTTAAAGTGGAAAGCAACCTTTATTTCTTGATCAAAGATTAATTGCACCCTTTGTAATAAGAATTTAATTGAATGTTTGTCTTACACAGATGATGCCTGCAGTACAAGCCTGTGTTCTATCCTGTGTCTGTTTTGTTGAACTGTCATTTCCAAACTCCAGTGCCATAGGGCACCTTGTGGCCTAACATTTCTTCTTTGGGGAATTAATTGATTTTTCCTGTCTTGAGATGTGAAGATTCAGAGTTTGCATGTAACTCTGTCACTTGTGTGTGCAGTAATGCCAGCAGGAGAGCAGCTGGAGGCCACTTGGAGAACTTTCATGTGACAGAGGAACAAAATCATGAACCGATTGATTTGTGGTACTTCTCCAACCCTTTACTACCAAACCAGTTTGTTCTTATGTACTGTACATGTATGGTCTTTGTTGCTGAATCATTTGGCATTGTGGAGTTTCTTTATAATATAAAAAGAATCTCTCCACCCATACTTAAGCTCACATTTGCTCAAATTCCACCGAGATGCCACATGGAGATTTTTGTTTTTGTTGAATGGTTTGTTTTGCTTTTTAAATACTATAAAGCCAAAACAGCTGTCTTACTATATAGCAAATCCTCCAGATCAAAAGTAATGATGAGGTTGACCATTCATATGCATATAGAGCTCTAAACCTACTTAACTATATTAATTGTGTCACAAAACAGATGTTCACTACTTACCTACACATATTGCAACTCCTAGGTAGGCAACAGTTGTAATCAGAATGGCCAACATTGTTCCTTTGGGTATAGCAGCTTGTGGGTCCTTAAAAATTGTAATTGCAAAAATTGCTGTGAGTCCTTTATATATTTGTAAATTAAGAGTTTGTACTGTGATTACTTACAAGTTAGCAAGTTTCGGTGCTGCCACTTTGTGATAAGAAAATATTTTGGGGAGGGAGAAATTGTTACCAGTTAGATCTGTACAAGGAACTCACTCCCCAGCATGCGGGTGGAGTCAGACACTTCTGTGGCACCATCCTTCTCCCCTGAGTGCTGCAAAGGAGGCACTGCAGGTCCTGATCTCCATTTAGGGCAGTGCCACACTGTGAGACTCCCTAGCTGTACATTTAGTGTAACTTAAAGTCCCCTTTGCACCAACACAACAGTGGCCCTTAATCTCCTGCTTTAAGCACTCACCCAAACTACCCATCTCATTGTACAATTCAGTTAGCCAGTAAGATTAGGGAAAAACAGTCATTTTGAAAGAAAGACACTACTATTACTGTTGGAAACTCATAATCCTGAGTTATGTCCAAAGTGAGCTCCTACCTTTCAGGTTGCTTTTATTTTTACATTAGATCAGGGGGTCGTGAGGTTATTACATGGGGGGTCAAGAGCTGTCAGCCTCCACCTGAAACCGCGCTTTGCCTCCAGCATTTATAATGGTGTTAAATATATAAAAAGTGTTTTTAATTTATAAGGGGGAGTCGCTCTCAGAGGCTTGCTATGCGAAAGGGGTCTCAAGTAAAAAAGTTTGAGACA